AGGAGTTGGAGGTTGCTGTGAGCTGTGATGCCACAGCACTCTACCCAGGGGGATAGCTTGAGGCTCCGTCTCAAAAAAAAGAAAGAAAGAAAAAGAAAAAACGAAAGAAAGAAGGAAAAGAAAAGAGGGCGATGCCTGTGGCTCAGTGAGTAGGGTACCAGCCCCATATACCGAAGGTGGCGGGTTCAAACCTGACCCCAGCCAAACTGCAACAACAACAAAAATAGCCAGGAGTTGTGGCCCGCGCCTGTAGTCCCAGCTACTCGGGAGGCTGAGGCAAGGGAATCGCCAGGAGGTTGCTGGCGACAAAGTGAGACTCTGTCTCAAAAAAAACATGTAACAGGTGAAAGCACCCAGCACACTCTTTGTCATATGGTGAAGTGTCAATAAACAGTGGCTTATGACATTAAAGCCAAAAAGGACTTGATAATTTGCTCAGTTACAATACATATCAATATTAAAGCCAAAAAGGACTTGATAATTTGCTCAGATACAATACATATTGGTTACATATTGGAGCCATGGTGGGAATTCAAATCTGTATGATTTCAAAACTCCACACTCTTTCCATTATACCATGTTAGCAAGATATTTTCTGTCTCTATATAATTTTTTTTTTTTTTTTACTAGAAACAGAGCCTTGTGATATTGCCCAAGTTGGAGTGCAGTGGCTATTCACAGGTAAGATCACAGTGCCTTCCTGCTTCTCACTACTGGTCTTAGCCTTTCGAGTAGCTGGGACTACAGGTGTACATTCCTGCACCTGGTTAGTCTCCATATAATCTTGAACTGTTTTTCTAAGAGTCTAGACTCTAGAGTTCTTTCTTGGTAGATTAATATAATTTTAATATTTTTCTATTATAAATTTCATTCATAATTCATAAAACATAAACCATATCACACCCTCCTGAATTAACTATCAATATTTATTTTCTGGCAGGGCACAGTGCCTTATGCCTGTAATCCTAGCACTTTAGAAGGCCCAGGCAGGAGGATCTCTGGCACTCAGGAGTTGGAAACCAGCCTGAGCAAGAGCAAGACCCAGTCTCTACTAAAAATAGAAAAATTAGGGCGGACACAGTGGATCATAAGTCCTACCACACTGGTAAGCTGAGGCGGGTGTATTGCTTGAGCTCAGGAGTTCCAGAACAGTCTGGGTAAGAGCTAGACCCCATCTCTAAAAACTACCCAGGCCTTGTGGTGAGTGCCTGTAGTCCACCTACTAGGGAGGTAGAGGCAAGAGGATTTCGCTTGAGCCCAAGAGTTTGAGGTTGCTGTGAGCTATGACCCCATGGCACTCTACCAAGGGTAACAAAGTGATACTGTCTCAAAAGAAAATAATAAAAATTGAAAAATTAGCCAGTGAGGCAGCACTCACTACCCAGAGTGACAGACCAAAAACTCTGTATCATATAAAAAGAAAAATATTTATTTCCTTCCAATCTTTTTTCCACATGTATTTTTTCACAATGCTATGGATGGTTTTGCATTTCTTATGTCCTTTAATATAAAAATGTTCTCAATATAAAATATTCCTCGAGGTCAAGCTCAGAGCCCATAGCTCAGTGTCAGGGTGCCGGCCACATACACCGAGGCTGGCGGGTTCAAACCCAGACCGAGCTTGCTAAACAATGACAACTGTAACAACAACAACAACAAAATAGCCAGGCGTCCTGGCAGGCACCTGTAGTCCCAGCTACTTGGGAGGCTGAGGCAAGAGAATTGCTTAAGCCCAAGAGTTTTAGGTTACTGTGAGTTGTGACGCCATGGCACTCTACCCAGGATGACAGCTTAAGACTGTCTCAAAAAAAAAAAAAATTATTTACTTAATGTTTTATTTCTGCTTATTTCATCAAATGAAGATTTCATAATTATTTCACCATTTACCATAATTTACCATTTTTCTAATATTTATAATTCTGATTTTTTCTCCAGGATTCCTACAAGTGATACTACTGTGTCAAGATCAAATTTTTGAATAAAAATGGATATTGGCAAATTGTTTTCAAGAATGTTTTCTAGGCTCGGCGCCTATAGCTCAACCGGCTAAGGCACCAG